CAACCTGCTTCAGCCTTAACGTAGCAATGAAACTAAGCGGAAGCGGATCAAGTGAAGCTCACCACCAACTTATAATGAGATCTTCCACAAAAGGTAAATATAATATTTACAGCAACAAAACAAAAGATTCACCTCTTTGCCTGAGAAATATACCGATATAGCCGGATGAACTGAGGACCTAGTAAACACCCATTGACAATTATTCCGTATCCAATTTTCAGTTAATGAATGTATAAATTACTTCCACGCTCTATGAGAACAAAGTTAAGAAGAGGAAAGATTTGATACTCTGATGGAAAAATATAAATGGAAGACAACTTAAGTCCAAGACTAATACAATCAATGCTTTCAAAGAAATGCATTATTCATACTTTAGCTGAACTCAAGGGGCACATAAAACTGACTTAATGTTGACTTATCTACTTTTGTTTAACAGTTTAAACACTATATATGTGTATCATCTAACATTGCGATTATAGGCTACTATGATATTCTATGTAAGCTAACTCAAGCATATTTGTGTTAAGATATTGGTTAAGAAAAAATCCAGATAAAATAGCAAATTGCTTTTACTCGGTAACGAGCAAGAACCAAACAAAATTACTGAATCGAGGATAATAGAGGTAATAGAAGCTTGAACCATCTGAAGATTGGAAGCGGCCGAGTTGGCAAGAATCAGAAGACGAGCAAACTGAATGGAGCCTGAGGACGTAGCCAAGCGAATGAGAGACTGTTGATCACTATCACAAAAAGAATCGGAGGGTTGGCAGTATGTCGGGAGATGAAGACGAAATGGGGTGAAGGAGAGCAGCGGCACCTTAGTTAAGTCGCCTGGGAAACCTGAAGCTAGATCAGGCAATTCCAATAGAAACTGAGGGGCTGCGTAAACTGAAGCCATATGTTTCTGACTAAAAGAAATTACTGGGGGCGAATATTAAGGAAAAATATAGAAATAATGTATTAAATACCATGAGCAAACTATATTAATGATAATGTATAAAAATGTTAGAAGACTTACCTGCCCACGCCAGTGAATCACACCAAGCGTAATCGTTAAGATGAAAGGCGGCCAAGGCTGCCAAACAACAAACTGTAATAATAAAACAGAAAATTTGTGAAATTAAATATTCACATTCATATAGAGTAGGCTGTGATAGTAGCAGTAGATTATGAATAAGAACTGTATGCATACTAGGTCACAAATTATGATGAACTTTCTCACATGAATGACTAGGCTCGTCTCCCAAAAGGTATCCTTATCCGGGGTTGGACTCGCCTAGGTGTGATTACTGTTTAAATATAGTAAGCCACTCCACTATACAGCTAAGGGTCAGAGGGATTGTGATTTTCAAGACAAGTCGGGTCTCATATCAAGGGTATAACGGATGTTGAAGAGACTTCTTATCTGGCTTTATATTTGACAATATTACTAATATCCGTAAATATGACATGTCTGCCCAATAACCTAATGACAGTTTAGCGAACAGATGTCACTTATATTTAAGATAATGAGACCTAGGCAAAGTTAAAACTACAGTTCATTCTAAATGAGGATAACTTTTGGGAGACAAGACCAGGTGAAATTCAAAGGCATCGCGAGGCATAATAATGTCAGTGAGAAAATGTAACTATGAGAGTTTCATAATGTATTGCAAAGCATGAAACGGTCCGATTCAAAATTAAATAGTTGGCGTTAAAATAGAATAGCCATATTAGTAAATAATCGAATGATAATTAAGCTATTTTGTATTCAAGTAAAATTTAGATTATTTCTTAAGATTATTATAATTTAGTGAATCTAGACTGTTTAGAAGTGGGTTGACCTCGTTGTCGCAACTTGGTCTTGTTTTCAGGGAGACCATGTAGAACGCAC